ATACAAGTGTTTGTTGAAGAATTATAAATATAGTTGCTACCTATAGTATCACAGCTCTGTGTACATTATTTTTAATTAAATAATATATAACTACTTTCGCATTACTAACAGCTGCATACTAAGCAATATTTTTAATTGGAGTTTTAGCTCTAATTTAGAGTAAGCATACTATAATTTAAAGCTATATTATCACATAGTGAGCATTAATAATTACATATTTAACAATTTTACTTAGAGGAGTTGAGATATGCATTATTTGGACAAGTTTAACAACGCTTTGTAGTAGTGTCGATTTGGAAATATAAGTAGTTACATATAGTACAATCTAAATCAGTAGGTCCTGAGCATTCTTTACAAGCTATATTACATTATTTACAATATTTTCCAGAAGCGTAATATCCTGATTATTATGAACAAATAACACATTAGTTTTTTTACTCATGAATAAGATAGCCAGATTAACATAAATCACAGGTGCTTCCATTTTAACAAGTTTGGCAGTTCGGAATGCATTTCAAACAATTATTTGATTAACTATAATATCCATCTAATTTACAATCAGTGCAAGAATGATCATCTTATAAAAAATATGGCTTAGCAGAATTACAAGAAGTACAATCTTATTAATTTTTTCCGGTACATTTTAAACAATTTGTATCGTAACATTTTTCACATTATTTTGAAGAATTTAAAAAATAATAATCTGCACAAGATGTACATACATACTTAATACAATCTGTACAATTAGGATCTTTACAGTCAAATCCAATCACAGTAATATCTCTAATACCTAGATATCCCTATGCAACCGAAGAACCACCATAAATAATATTACTTTAGTTAATGATTTAAAAATTTTTAGTTATTATATGACTTGGAGAAGCTCCAATTTTTTATACATAAGAAAATGAATCAATGGTATCCATTTAATTTAATCCGCAATAATATGATGTAGACCTATCAGTAGAAACAGTGTAACTGGAGAGTTGGCTTCCATCAGAAAGCACAACGTTTATATATGATGGTGACAAATTTGTATCAAAATCAATCAAATAAACAGTAAAAAAGATTTAGTAATATTAAGTAGAAATAGTAATAGGAGGAAACTGTATAATTGTATTTTTTTAGATAACCATAAAACCGCCCAAGATATTTATTCCTTTACAAGAAGTAACTAAAGGTTATTGTGATCTTCTAGGAATTACAGAAAAACCTTTATTAGTAACCTCTAAATCAGAAAAAGAATAGCTACTAAATGCCTTAAGGTAGTATTTAATATTTTAAACTTACTAAGTATTTTAAGATGCATTTAATACAAAATTAGAACCTTATTGGACATATCCTGGAGGTACAGTATTTTGTGTCTAGCAAATTCCATCATTATTATAATATCCACTAACGCAAGTTTAACATTTACCGTTATTTGATGGGTCAGGAGTTGAACAACCATAATTATAATAGCAATACTTACCAAGAGGTACATAATTGGTAGAACAAGAAGTAACACATTCTCCATTTTAAAAATAGTCAGAAGGATTTGTACAAGAACAAGAACCACTTGATCCATTCGAAAAACTTGCTACTTATTAACAGCTTGTGCAGTCATTTAAAGTTATTCCCTTACATAATAAGCATGTAGGATGACAAGTGTTAATGCTAATTTAGTATCTATAAATATAAGAATGTAGAGGTGTATTATAATCGTTGATTGAAGTTGTCATTGAGTCACTCCCCGTATTCATAATACTCAAAACTTAAAAAAAATAAGTAAGCTTATAAGAATAAATATTACAATCAGCATTAACAGTAAAATTTGAATAATCACCCATATTAAAAAAAGTATATAGCTTACTTATTTCATCTGTAAGTTAAATATAATTCTTAATACCATCTATTATTGCATTATTTGTTACTCCTACATCAACTACAGATGCCACTTGAAAATGTGGAAATATCAAAGTATTAGTATGTATTGATGTACTTAACGATTAAAGTTCATAAACATTGTTGCAAAATTGATTATTACAAGAGCTAGGCAAACATTATTAGGCTTTCAAATTACTTAAAACAACATTAGTACTAGAATTAACACCGTCTGTAACTAAATTTATTTGAAAATCATCACATCTAATAAATGAAGTGAAAATTAAAATGATAAAAACTAGCATATTTTAGTTAGTTTTTATGATTTTACTCCAATTTATTTCTTTATAGTTAAGTTTTGTTTAATTCATCTCAAATATTAATTAAAAAAATAAAATAATGATCTATTCACTTATTAATTTCTTTTTGCTCAGAGAAAAGAAAATCAAACAAAATAAATTATTCCATCCATCAAAATATTAAAATTTGCTTCTTTTTAAAAAGCTAAAAAATTGTACCTTCTTTTTCTTATTTATTTTTATAATTTATTTATTGAAATAAAATAATTTATAATAATACTTTTATAAAATTAGGAATTTTTTTAAATGATTAAGATATAAGCTCTTTCTAAAACACAAAATGTAAAAATTTATTATTTCATGTGTACATAGATATATCTATTAATGATCTTTTTTTAGTTAGTAATCAAACCTGTAAAAATCTCTTGATATATAAATTAATTAATAAAAGTAAATATTAGATTTCCTTTTATTTCTTATTAAGCTAAATAAAAAAAATTATTCACCACTAAATAAGTAAGAATTAAATAAATGATATTCTTCAAACAATTTATTTTCTTCTAAAAAATAAGTAAAAACCTAAAAATATTATGTAAACAAAAGAGAAAAATCTAATACTAAAATTTATTAATTTATTCTATGAATAAAAATATTTTTCTTACAGATATTTACAAATTTTAAAGTCCAACTTTTATTATATTAAATAATTAGAAGTTATTAAATACCTCAGAATAGATACTCAAGATATCTTTAATATTTGGTATTAAATTCATGGCATTTAAGTGAAAATAATTATTAATTTCAATTTATCAATAGAAATTTTAGTAATCTGAAATAGATGGATAATATCTATTTATATACTTTATTTCCAAAATTCTGTAAATCAATCTCAATTCAAAAAAAAATTGACTTAATCAGATTTTGATTTGATATGTAGTCCTTTTTTCAAAATTAAAAAATATAAATTATTCTATCACTAATAAAGTAAACTAGTCTATTAAACTGCAGATAATAAATAGGTCAATAGAATCAAATAATCTTTTCCATAAAACATTTTTTTTATATATTTTTATTTAATAAAAATTTATTTTAATTTCAATAAATTTTACATTTTTAAATATGTAGTTTTACTATTATTTAGGTTTTTAATGCGTATTGGTTGAAAAATGACAAAATATCTAATTAAATTTTATTTTAAAGAAAGAAAAGGTATTTATTTAAAAGCTTAACATCAGATGATATAAGATTACATCTATTACTTTTACTTATTTATTTATTTTTTTTAATATGAAAAAATATTTAAATATTTATATTTTGTTATAAAAGCCATGATCATACTACCGTAGTTCATCGTAGTCTTGTATCCTAATAATTTCCTATGTTAAGGAATGAAGAATTATTGATAATTTTAGCTAATTTTTCTACTCTTCAGCTTTTAGGCTAGGTAACCAAAATGAGGGACTATGGTAATACGTCTAAAACTTAAAATTATCCTTAATAAATTGCAATTATTAAGATGAAATTTAATAAATATCTTTATACTAAAATTTATGAAAAATACAGTCATTTTATGTAATCTACTTTTCTAAATCAAAAGTAAATCCTAATAAATCAATTCTTCTTTGTAAATTAAAAAAATTTTAATTATTCATTTATCTTTTTTAATAACTAAATACATTTCATGCAGTTAATAAATTCTAAATAAATAAATTAAGTTTATCTAATCTCCTTTAAACCAAATTTAAATTCAATAAATAAATTTTTTTGTGGTGAAAATTAATAAAAAATACGCATAAAGAGTATTTGTTTTTTCTATTAATGTTAAGTTTTTGGATAGTTTTTAAAGTGAGGACAGACTGACTAATTGAAAAGACTAAACAATAAAAAAAAGTAATAAATAAATTAGTTTACAATATCTTCATAAGATGAATAGTTTTTTTAATAATAGTTAATAAATAGCAAATATTAATATCTAAAATACATCTTTGTCTATTCAAATAATTATTTTCTTTATTATTATATGAATTAATTCAATTTTTACATTGGCCATTTTATATAAATATTATGGAACTTGTTTATTTTAAAAAATATTAAACAAAAATATTTTTAATAGAAATATAAAAGTAATTTAATTAAATATTTTCTAATTCTTATTAAAATTAATTTTAAATATTTCAATAAATTCAAGAAAAATAATAGATTAGAACAAAATTACAAGTAAAGTATTTAAAAATTTTCAAATTTTAATTATTTATATAATAAAACTTGTAGTCCTCAACATAAATTACAATTTTTACTAAGTATAAATTTCTAAATTTTTTTGTAAAATTTAAAAAATTTTAAAATTTAACATATTTTTGAATTAAACATTTTTTTCAGTTGTTGTTTTTTGATAATCTTTCTTTAGAAATGCTAGATCTAGTAACTCTAATGTAAGTTGAATTATACTAATTTTTAAGTTATTATTATAAATCTGTAGTAATTAGAACTTCTAGTTCTACTTTCTTTAATTACTTATCTCTTTTATTTTGTTTGTAAGTTTTTATAAGATCTTAAATTAAGAATCCATACCTAATAAGCTGCAATAATGTACTTATTGATAAACAAATAATTATAAAAATTATAATTATACTACCAAAAACTTCAATATTTAGTAGAGTTTCATTTGATATTACATCTTCGTTAGCAGTAGCTTACATTTTTTTGATAGTAATTCCAATAAATATAAATAATACACTCACCATTATTTCTTAAAGCACTTTAATTATTGTTATTATTTTACTTTTAAAGAATCTATATTATAATAAATATAAACCACTAACTCCATAAACTACTAGAGATATTATAGCACATTCAAATTGTTTCTAAAATAAGACTAGAAATGAGATCACAACAAAGTATTTCTTAAAAAAAGAAATTAAAATGTATGATTTAGATCCTTTCATACTAAAATCGATATCACCATAAATATTAGGAGATTTTAAGACTAAGTAATCACTAGATTTTTTATAAAGTAAGTAAATTAAAGTTACAAAGAAAAAACAAAAAGGTGAGATTTAAAGTATCAAAAGAAAAATATTATCACCACTTAACCAGCAATAGCAAATTGAAAAAACAATAGCTGTCAAAGATGTTTAAATGTAACTGCAGAGGAAATTAAAAGCAGTGTATATTATTAAAGTTGTGTACTACTTTCCTTTAAGAATTTTCCGAAAAAACAAACAGTAAATCATTATAATTGTGCAAACTAAGACAACTACTTAAACCTGTAAAAAGTTATTATAAATTCCTGGTTTTATTCCAAATGACTTTAATATATCTTTTAACTGTTATTAATTAGATATTTCACTATATTATTAGGACTCAAATGATATCTATGTTGGTTGAGGAGTTTAGTTAAAAACTAATGTTGCTCCTGATAAAGAAGCAAAGTTCACTTTAGGAGGAAGGTATTCTTTGATTAGGTAAATTAAAGGTAGAACTTAGACAAAATTTGAAATGTTACACAAAACTTAAAATTATTTGAGAAGATTTATAACTTTACCAAATGCGCTATTTTGATCTGGAGAGAATGCTTATGAAATTGTTTACAAATTTTGTGTTAATTATTTACCTTATGCAAACGAATTAGATTATTTACTATAACTTGATGAAACAATTATTGTGTTTGGAATTTAATAGTTTATTTTTGATCCTTTAATGCTAATAGTAAATTGGTTTACTCTCCTATTTTACTAGGATATAATTATTATTTTTACATTTTGGTCTTCGATAGAAATAGAATTGATGCTATACTAATTACCTAAATTCAATATTCCTTCTTCTATTAAAAATTAAAAAGAAGATTTTTCTTCAGTTGTTAATTTCCGATTATAAGTAATAACAATTAGATTATCACTAAAATCTGTTGGAAGAGTTATATCTTTCATTTGAGCTAGATAATTATAGATATTTATAGATTAAATAGCTAAGGGAAGCTAACAAATCATACTTTATCCCTAAACAGTACTTTTAAGCTACTCTAAGTTATATCCTTCAGGACACTCACATATTCCTTTTTAAGTATTAGAGATAATATTTAAGTCTGGAAAACAGTTTTAAGAACAAGTATTCTGCCATAAATAGCTTCCTTCATTACATTTTACACATGTTTGACTATCAGAACAAGAACTACAGTTTTAGGTACACTAGAAGCATATATTATGAGAGTCACAGAAATATCCATAAGCTTAGCTGCTTGAGCAATCAAAATTATTTTTATAAGGATTTCTGACTTGATAATTATATCCCTATTAACAAGTACAAGTGTTTGTTGAAGAATTATAAATATAGTTACTACCAATAGATTCACAGCTCTATGTACATTATTTTTAATTAAATAATATGTAACCACTTTCACATTACTAACAGCTGCATACTAAACAATAAATTTAATTGGAATTTTAGCTTTAATCTAGAGTAAGCATACTATAACTTAAAGCTACATTATCACATAGAGAGCATTAATAATTACATTTTTAACAATTTTACTTAGAGGATATTAGATATGCATTATTTGGACAAGTTTAGCAACGTTTTTTAGTTGTATCGATTTGGAAATATAAGTAATTACATATAGTACAATCTAAATCAGTAGGTCCTGAACATTCTTTACAAGCTATATTACATTATTTACAATATTTTCCAGAAGCATAATATCCTGATTATTATGAACAAATAACACATTAGTTTGTTTGCTCATGAATAAGATAACCAGATTAACATAAATCACAAGTGCTTCCATTTTAACATGTTTGGCAGTTCGGAATGCATTTTAAACAATTATTTGATTAATTATAATATCCATCTAATTTACAATCAGTGCAAGAATGATCATCTTATAAAAAATATGGCTTAATAGAATTACAAGAAGTACAATCTTGTTAATTTTTTCCACTACATTTTATGCAATTAGGATCGAAACATTTTTCACAAAATTTTGAAGAATTTAGAAAATAGTAATCTACACAAGATGTACATATATACTCAAT